CAGGTCCTTTGCAAATGGAAATGCCCTGCTAGATCAGGTTTAAGGTTCTTCTAGCATCCTGTTTCCAAAATTTCACAGCCAAAAGTATCTGGAGCTCTTCAACAAGATATGTTGTAGCCATAATTGGTGGCAAACTCCTTAGTATCCAATATTTAGAGATCTATGCTCCTAATCCAGAGGTGAGCAATTTGTGGCTTTTGACCTAATTTCAAAAGCATAGTTCAAGAACATTGTTCAGACCATTACTTGGAGCTGTCTCCTTTCTGCCAAAAAATTCAAAATATTTTGTGCAACTCTATTCTCTACCACTGGCAAAAAGCTATTGTAGATGATGCATCAAGGCATGGATTTCCATCATTTAGCTGCAGACTTCAAGAAGGTCCTTCCTCTACCACACTCGAGACACAGAGCAGGGAATGCTCATCAGATCTTAAAAGTATGAGCAGCCTGGCTTAGAAGGCCATCCCTAAAGTATCTAGAGCCTAAGTTCTTCAGGATTTAAATGTCATCATCAACATTTTGAACTGTGTCCAGAAGCAAACTAAGAACCAGAGCAGCCCTTGAACAACAGGTATTGAGTGGTCCTGCCTACATTCACAGTGCTACATTCTGGATCAAATATGACTTTCAGGCTGGGGAAGGAGATCCTTCAGCAGCAGAACCAGAAGAATTAGGTTATTTGATCCCCTATACCAATCTCCCATATTGGAAACTAAATTCCACCCAACAGTATAAGAAATGAAACATACCTCCCATTAGATCTTCCTTGATCCCAAATCACTTAAATTTCTGGATTCCTCCCCCCGCCCCTCCTCTGCTTGCTATGAATTAAACTTTCCAGCGTATATATGTCAAATCTGGATGTAAAATAGATCAACATGTTATGTGATTGGCTATTTATTTGTTTCCATCCCAATGGGTGCTTATAATGCAGTATTTTGTGTGTTTGTGATTAGCTTCGTGTCTCTTATATGAAGGTGCAACAATCCACTCTTTGGTTTACATTTGGTTACAATTTAAAATCTTCTCGTAAATATTTCAGACACTGGAATAATTCAGCCTTATTCCCTTGTTGCCGTAGTGTGGTCTGGGCTGGCCAGCGAGAGATTAAAATTTATTTCCATTGTTTAAGAGAAAATAATGAAGTGCATCTGTTGGAGCTCTCGCGTGTCATGGGGGAACTGTTCACTTTGGAACCAAGTCCCAGCTCCACCTAGAGTGCCATGACGAAACCTTTTTGGCATATGGAAGCAACACGTTTTGTGGCAGGAATGCAAAGGCACCCTTAATGTAAAGTATGACAAGTGCCTTTTGGAACGAATTAAGCTCGTACCGAGAAGAGAAAGTGAGCAAGAGCGTGCATTTGTTCAGTCAGCATAAAAATGGTCTAGAAGGGAAAACAGGTTTCCCTGCTCTGATCCCTCCCCTTCCAAAAGGGATGGGGGGAAAGGAAAGGAAAGGAAAGAATTTGTCAGCTGTTGAAGACTCTCTTTTAGAATGGGACATCGAGGATTAAGGCTTTCCTCCTTGTGCCTTGTGAAGTTTTTATCCTTTTCTCTCTGTCATTTGATCATAGACTCCTGTCCTACTTTCCCCCTCCCTGTCGCTGAAAGGAAACTCAGGACTAAAATGTCCAAGTGCAGCTTCCCTGAATCTGAGGATGTTTCCAATGTTTTCCTTATCCACACTACTCCCTGGATTTGGGAGTTTGGACTTGCCTGCTTTTAACTTTGAAGTGGAGCTTTTATTTTATTTCTAAGATATTTATATTTTGCCAAGTACACAAAGCATGCTACAAGTTTGACATGTGTTGGTTCCTCCATGCCTCTTTTTCTCTCTTTAATATTGTATGATGGGTTACATGCAAGATGCTTTAATTAAACACCTAGTGGCAGCCTGTGTTTCTGAATGAGAGGACATTCAGGTCAGATTAAAGGGAGATTAGAGGTGGAACACACTGGTTAAAAGGAAAAAATTAGCCTGTGGAACTCACTACAGCAATGATGGCCACCAACTTGGAAGCTCGCTCCTTCCTTCCTTCCTTCCTTCCTTCCTTCCTTCCTTCCTTCCTTCCTT